CTAACCTGTTTAAATGCACAGATGGCATACTGGGAACACAGGAACCCAGCTGTGTGTGTGTGTGTGTGCATGTGCGTGCACACGCATTAGCAAGAAATCAGAATTATGGGGAGTCTGTTTCCAGGAACATTGATGGGGTGCGGGGACAGTTGGATTCCCCCGATCCAGAAAAATGAGCATATCTACACCACACACTTATATTGATAGCAACTCTCTCTTCTCAAAGAACTCTGCATGCTGTAGATCTGGTCTCAGTACAATGGATGCTAGAGAAATACCTCTAGGAATTCTGAGGGTATGATCCTCTGGGAGAGGCCATGTCAATTAAAATAGATGTTTATAAACATGCCTAGTGTTTCAATGGATCAGTCTGTTTCAGTATACCACATTCTCCTTATTGTTCTGTTTATTTTATATTCATATGATGCAATGTCCCTTTTTTGATCATGGAAGCATGATTTCTGTTCAACACAAACCAACAAAGGAAGAATAAAGTGGATTTTTTTCCAGGAGAGAGTCCTGAGTGCATGTTGAGTGTTACGTACATTCACTGAGTTGTAGGCTATGGACCAGGTTTGTCTTGCATATCACTTGCTGGTTCTGATATTCATTTCTTTCTCAGTTTAGAAAAAGAAAATAAAAGATTCTAGGAGAGATATGATGCACATTTCTCATTAACTTGCTTCCATGTGCTTTAATTTTAAAAAACCTAACCAAATCTTCCTTCATTATAGTGTAATCTAGAGATATATGTAGGGACCAGCTTTTAGGGTGATGAAATTTTCCTGATTCAGTATTATTTGATGGGAGGTGAAGTTGTTTTTATCATGTGTAATATTGATCTTTATCTGTATGGAGGAAAGAAAATTTGGACAATGTCCTCATGAAATTTCATGAGAACCAGTGTGTGATGTAATTTCCAGCTGTCTGATTATACAAAAAACCATCTGTCTTCTTCATTGCCTGCCTATTCTACCACTTCTCCCCTCGTGTGTTTATACATCAAAGTAGGAATTGGTTTTTATTACCATGTACCTGCTTCACAACTTCTGCATTTAGCATTAATGCATTGGAGCCCATTCATTTTCTAGCTTGCAGTGTAGGATGGTTCAAGGAGAAAAGTCCAATGTGAGCATACTTTTGAAAAATGTTCACAAAAGCAAGTTTTAACCAATGGGAGAAACTGCTTTTCAAAGATGTATATAATTGATACATTTGGGAATGCATATACAAAATTGATACAACCAGAGCAGGACAGATTCATTCCTGTGGCTGCTGTGATAATGTTCTCACTGGAAAACTGCATACCAAAAAAGAAAGAACTGGAAGGGAATGTCAAGTATTTCTAAATAATTGCAAGAATCAAATTTTCTGAGAAAGGTTTATAAAAAGGTTTGTAGGCTTTCTATAAGAAGAAGGAACATTTCACCATGGAAAGTATTTAAGAATATTTGAGTTCCCAAGGATATGTACATAATTTAGTTATGTTTAGATCGCTAAATTCAAGTGTGAACTGTCGTAATCCCTGTAGGGCAATTAACCATGAATGAACTTGGGTTTTATGTCAACATAAAGCAAACTGAGATTTGCAAGTGTGCCCCTTCTTCAGTTAAGCCATTCATATCCAATATTCCATTAACTCTGTACAAACATTCCTAAATTAGGTAGAATTTCTCTGCACAGGTGATCCCCCACTGATGGAATTTTATGGGGGTTTTTCATGACCACTTGAGAGCCTATTCTGGAGTGAGGAAAATCTAGTATTACATTTTAAATTGTCACAATCAAAATAAATGCCTCCTGAATGGGAGAAAATCCACTATAGTGTCGTTGTACCACAGGGCCACCTTGTGGTTAATTCACAGAATATATAGAAGCACAGAGAAATACAACTCCCCAAGAGAAAGCCCCATAAGAGGGAACTACTTTCCCCCTACAAAAATAGAAGAAGACACTGCACAGCAGGGTGTTAACCCCACTTGCAGAGAATCCCTTAGTCTAAACACACAAGGGGAACAAGCACACATGACAACACCTTCTCTGCATAAGGAGGGGATTTCTCAAGAGGAGAACCTGCTATATTCATTAAGGGTATCCATGTGATTCATAATTCTGGAACAACAGCAAAATGTAAATAAATAGATAAATCAGGAAAAGCTGGAATGATTCATAAATCAGAGATAAATCATATGACAAAAAGAAGAAAACACTCAGAAATGTAAGGGGAACTGGCCTCCCCAACTCACATTCAGTTGCCTGCTTTACATATAAATAAACATATGGTCCAGTGCTTCTAGCAAATTGTTGAAATCCACCTAGTAAAAGTTACTAAATTCCAGCATCCTGGGTTTTTTTTAGAGCTTTTGTTCTATCTGCCAATATGTGCCCGAAATTTGTAAGCATGTTTCACGGGTATTTTATAGCTCCATCCCTCCATCCCCAGGGTGTCCAGACTTAAAATGACCCATTTAGTGACTAATGCTTGGTTCCTTATTGTTGCAGGATGAAAGTTCAGGGTTAATTCGTATTGGAGGGCTTTGAGCCTCTAATCCACATTAAAGGAATGGTCTTGGTGATATTTCATGCCATGTGGTGCCATGGACCATGCATTCTCTCTAGATTTACCTAAATATGTCTAGTTGTAGAGTCAGTAATGGGAAGGGATTGAAGATGGGTATAATATAATCAAGGCTCATTTGGACTTTGGTTTCTCATGACTCAGTCTGTGGGTGTGTGATTGACGTGTGTAATTGGGAGTTTAATGAAAATATATATTTTAAAATATTTGTCCAGGAGTCAACAAGGCTAACAATGCTCATGAATAGTGCTGCTGTTGTTTTTAATTCCAAACTTGGTGTCAATTTAATCTCAGAGCACACCTTTTCTAAAGCAGGAAAAAACCCTATTTCATTGGACTTAATGTTATGATGAGGCATTCTCACTTCATTATGTGAAATATTAAATAACACAATCCTTAAATTTATTCTTTTCAAAAGTTATACAAATTTACTCATTAAAACTTGCTGTGTTGAGTCAGAATCTCTTTTTTGAATTTTCCACTTTGAGCTTTAAATATACCAAACAAGTATTATTTTTCTCCCCAATATGGTAGGGAATAGTTCTACTTCCCTTTTTTATTCCCCACCCCCCCCCCACCACCCCCCCTTAGATTCAAGGTTGGTAACTGTGTAGCCAAATTACTGTGCTAAACAGCAAAATCCTGTGTTAACTCAGGAAAATCCCACTGAATGCTACACTTACTCCAGTGTAAGGGCATTTAGGACTACACTCTTCCTACCCAAAACCCAGAATTGCTTGAGTAAGTGTTGCACAGAAATAATAGGTAAATCTGTCATGGTAGGTAAGATTTAATATATTCTAATTCAGTCAAGTGCTTGAACTCTCCAGCAAACTCTCTTGAGAAATAGATTGATTTTGAGCAGAATTATTTAGACTGTCATTAACTTGCTTTTTCTCAAACTCTGTATCATGGGATTGACTAGGAAGGGTGTCTGCAATATAAAGAATAGATATAACTTTGTTTAGGGCATTCAATTCTGTCCTGTTCTGTCCTGCTCTATATTTTGTTTCATTCTCTCATGCTTTATGGGACAATCCTGATATACAGTACATATAGGCAAGAAAATGCATTTGTGGAGGACATTTACAAAGAAGGTGACTTATATCTTGAATTATGATCATGAGTTTCTGTGAATGTCTACTCTTTAGTGAATGTCTATACTTTACTCCTTTTTGTTCCTAAAAGTAAGGTGTCCTTTTTAGGAGTAAAAAAGGGGAAGCACCTTTTAACTACTTTATAAGGTAACACAGGAACAGGACAATGTGAGGCATATTTACTGACAAATTAGTCCATGCCCCAAATTAATGCTATGGGTTTTCTACTAAAGAAGGTTGCAAAAGTAACAGTTAAAAATACAGCCATACAGGTCACAATAAAACATCAGAAAACAAAACAAAACTATTTTTACATGAGTAAACAAAAAGAACACATGAAGAACTTATGTCTGATCATGCCTCATTTTTTTTTTAGCATAGCAATATACAAAAGGGAAAAGCAATTAAAATAACAAGTTTGAAATCCAAATACACTTGAGAAAACCATTCTTCTAGCACAGACTGCATTGTCTTATAAAACCATGCAAGAAGGGCAGTTTAAACGGCAGGGGAATTTTTACGATCCCCGCCCCCTATTAAAATAGGAGCCGAACTTATTGTATAGGGTGCCTTCTTGATCGTTGCATTAATTTCCCACCATGCTTTAAAATGCCAGGAGCTTATCCTGCGTCACGTACAACGAAAAGGGGGGTGGGTGCTTGCACATTACAGTCTGCTCAGATAGATTTTTTCAGTCCTAGGAGACAGAAAGACTCTGCAGTTTCAAGGTTACACAGTGAAGATTCTCAGGGAGAACCAGGTAAGAACCAGCCTGCCTTGGAAAAGATGAGAGACATGTCAGAGCTGGGTGGTGTGGGAGGCAATGGAGAAGGAGGGCCATGACCTAGTGGGGAGATGACAGGTGAAATGAGTGGGCCGATTCCAAAGGGTCCAGGGTTCCCACCAGCAAGCCCTCAAGCAGCAGGTGTTTCCTCTGGGGGAGAGTCAAAAGCTTTCCTCAAAGGGAAGGGAGGAGAGAAAGTTTCCTTTTGGATCAAACCCTTTGCATGGGCAGATGCTTCCCAAGGAGCGTGCAGCCTTGTTTTAGACTGTTCTGCAACCTGTTAAGTCTAAATAAAATATCTGAGCTTCTGAAGAGTTGACTGAGTCTGCCAGAAAGGGAGAAAGGGGAAGAGGGACCTGTTCAGGACAGGTTATTTGGTCAAACTGGAAGAAGTAGTGTCTGACTGATTTATTTATTTGTGTATTCAATTTCTCTGCCACCCCACTAATCGTAGACTCTCTGGGCAGCTTTGTTCCCTAGGCATACCCAAGGCAAACGGAGCCCTTCACAGCTTGGCCTATTCACAGGCATGATTGGAGGCATGCATTACAATGCCAGATCCCTACAGTAAGTTTTTTTTAAAAATGTTTCTTTTCCATAACAATACCTAAAATCTCTGTGTCTTTTCTCATCTACTGCACCCACCTCTGATTCTTTGATTGTAGCATATTGTTCTAGATTGGCATTTGTGTGTGTCTGTGTCTGTGTGTAGACAGACAATGTCTTGCCCTTTATCTTGGGATATTAGATTATGTAATCTTGAGGTATGTAATTGAAAGTTGACATAGACAATATTTTGTATAAGGAAGGTATTATAGGGTAGGGCCAACTGGACTGTATGATGTATTGAAGAAATTATTCCAATATTGGGAAAGAAATGGGGAATTTATTATACATAAAGTAACTGGAACATGATATTGACATATGAAAAGTTATTAAAATGATAAAGAATTTATTACTTTATTTATTTTATTTATGTATTTGCTATGCTGTTCCACTAGCTGTAGGCTTTCTGGATGACTTACATCATGTCAAAATCCACAGACAACATAAAACAATACAAAGGTCAACATGACAATACACATTTACAAAAGGCCAATGACAATAACATCATAAATAAACTATGAGAATTCAATAGAACCAAAATAAACAAATAAACATAAGAATGTTATTGTATATGTGCATGTATTTGCATGGGTTTAAGCAATAGTAAGACTACACCATTGCACTGTTATACATTGGAATTTGTTGTTGTGCCCAACACCTCACTGCCCCATAGACAACATTGCTCCAGGCTCTCCTGTCCTCCACCATCCCTCAGAGTCCACTCAAGCCCCCAGCCACTGCCACAGTGACTCAATCTAGCCACCTCAACCTCTGCCACCCCCTTCTGCTTTTGCTATCAATCGTTCCCAGCATCAGGGTCTTCTCCAATACACTGGAATACTAATACATATTAAAGAAGCAAAGAGGCAACCAGCATTTAAAAAATTAACAGAGTTACACCACAGCTACATGCGTATTTATTCTTAAGTAAGCCCCACTGTAGGGTCAATTACTCAATTTGTCTGATGAATTGTATGTGGATGTAGTGTGGTTATTTTTTAAAATGCAAATATGTGGAAGTCAAATTCAGCCATGACACTTCCCAGAAAATCCCTCCCTTGCAGCAGTGCGGAGTGGCACATATGAGGGGCTTTTTGATTGCTGCTCATTGCCATGCTAGGAGGGGTGATTGGGAGCATCATGCTGTCTGGTGAAGGATCACAACTTCCCTCTCTTCTTCCTGAAGTCCCGATACAGTTTGATTGCACACACAGAGACACACGCAAATACTTGAGCATATCTTTTGACGTAAATGAATAAATAAGCAGGGAAAGACAGCTACATGCTATATACTGAGAATAATGTGTAGCTTGACCAATCTAACCTTTGCTCTATCCAGGTGATGAAGATCTTCAGAGGTTAAATGAGTTTGCAATATCACACTGGTGCATAATCGGACTTGTGGGTTTCTCCATCCCTTCAAGCTGGATTTCCTTTCAGTTTAGGTTTCCTAGATGTTGTCTAAAGGCTTCAGAACTATAAAATTGAGAAGTGCATTTTTTATGCATGCCAATTCTCCGCTCTTTTTGAGTGCTTAGTAGTTAGGTCTGTTTCCTTGGTCTGCATTTCATCTTCTCGCCATCCCATCCCCCAGGGCCCATGGCTTTCAGCTGAAGAACTTGCAAGACTTTGTCCTGCACCACATTTCAGCCTCTTTGGCTTTGAGACGTCCAAGGAAACTTCATTTCATCTTTAAAAATGTAAAGAAAAAATGTGCTAAAGCCAACAAGAACCCTGCATTCTGTACTATCAATGTACCAGGAAATCTCTTATTTTCACTTTTTTTCCCTTCCCTGTACAGAGACTACCAGGAAAAATATGTGTCCAACATGACCACCATCACTGAGTTCCTTCTCTTGGGGTTTCCTGATGTGTTTGAACTTCAGATTTTACAGTTTGTGATGTTCCTTCTGATTTATCTGCTAGCTCTGATTGGCAACCTTCTTCTCATTCTTGTTGTAACTCTGAACTGCCATCTTCATACACCCATGTACTTACTTTTGGCCAATTTATCCATTCTTGATATCTGCTACATCTCCGTCACAGTCCCTAAAGCCATGGACGTCTCCTTAACCCAAGTCAGATCTATTTCCTTCTCTGGATGCATGGCCCAAATCTTCTTTGGAATTACATTTGCATCTGCAGAAATGGTGCTTCTCACCATCATGGCTTATGACCGCTACATTGCCATATGCTACCCCCTCCGTTACCACGTAATCATGGGCAAGATGAAATGTTCCATCATGGTATTTGGTTGTTGGTTGGGCAGTATCATCTACTCAGCACTACACACGTTGAACGCTGTACTCTTGCCATTTTGTGGGCCAAACACCATCCAACAGCTATTCTGTGATATCCCTCAGGTACTACAGTTGGCCTGTGCTGATACATTTGGCAATAAAATGACAATCCTCATATGTGGCATTGTTTTTGGTTTAATCTTTTGTTCTTCTGTCATACTGTCTTACATTCGCATCTTTGTTGCAGTCCAAAACATCCCTTCTTCCCAGGGCAGGTACAAAGCTTTCTCCACATGTCTGCCTCATCTCATGGTCTTTTCTTTATTTATGATTACTGGACTGTTTACATACTTGAAGAAAAGTTCAGAGTCATCTTTCAAGGAAATCCTGGCAGCTTTATTGTATTCTATTGTGTCACCTGTAGCCAACCCAGTAATTTACAGCCTAAGAAACAAGGAGATAAAAAAGGCTATTGGAAGATACCTAAACAAAACAAATTTCATGAAAGGGAAGCCTTTAACAAAAAAAAGAGGGAAGGAAATGAGAACAAATTCTCCACAACCAGAATCTGCTCATGAAAGTTGACTTTATATTGTGGTTATGTTTCTGTTTATCTTGTTTGTGCTTCTGTCTAGTTTCAGCATCCTTAATTATTAAGATGTTTGATTTTGATGTTTTGGTTGTGAGAGAGAAGGACAACTTATGTAATATTGAGTTCAACCAGTCCAGTAAGTTAATATTTATAGTACTACATATAAATATTGTTTTTTATTGGGCAAATTGACTTGGGGTGTAAACCTAAAGCAAACTTCTCTACAACCTACTAAACACAAATACACTTCTGAGTGAACAAGTGTAGGAACCTTCTATAAAAGTTTGTACATTTATTCAGAACTACCTCTTGTTAACCGTGGCTTAATTTCCCATAAGTATACCTAAGATTCAAGCCTTATTATTCCATTTCAATCCATTTACCTTTCTTAGGAGAGAGTTAGAACAAATGCATTATGGTGCACAAAAATAATGCCAAAAGCTGAGCTCTGGCCACTGCCATACCTGATCTGTGGAAATTCTAGCAGTCTCCTCAAAGCTATTGTGCATAAGAAGAAGAAGTATCTTTTCGCTACTTCATGTGATAACAAAGGAACAGGAAATGTGAGACATATTCACTGACACAGGAAACTGTGTGAACACAGAGGGTAAGTTGTAAGCAAGCACAGCCCATGGTATTTTACAGCCTCATCATAGAGAGGCACTTCTGTTAGGGCACTGTCCTTCATTTTTTTATTTCCTGGCTTTTTGGAGCTTGGACCAGCATGAAATATCCTCAGTTCTGGTTTCACTCATTGAATTGTTTTTGGAAAAGTGATTTATATTTTCTTCACCATCTTATCCTCCCTCAAATGTATTTGAATCTGCTTCCTCTCAAGTTGACCTGCACAATAAATAGGATGCATTCTTAAGTAATGGTGATTGTTATCTCATTTGAAGAAGCAGGATTCTGAATCACAGAGATAATTTCCATGGAGAGTGAATGCTATCTTTGGCATGCTGCTGTCCTCCACAAGTGGAAAGTGTTGGGAATGGTGTCAGAGGGAGTGAAAGCAGCAAGCTCATCCTCACTGCTCTTCCTTGTGTGAACAGCTTCTCCATGATGAGAATGACTAAATAGGGCTATGTGCCCTTAGCCGTCTTAATGAGTATGCAGAATGTAAACTCACATTCAGTGCATTGCATGAATACCGCTTGTGGAAAAGCAACATAAGTCAAAACACCCCTGCCACCAAATGTCAAGTTATCCTACTCCCAACACCAAATTTGATTTAAAGAAAAACTTAGCATAGAGTTTCTGTTACGATCCCACTTCTTTCCTCCTTGAGACTTAGAGATTTTGGAACTCTCTTTCACAAAGCCATCTTCTTAAGGTATAAAAATGTGCCACCAAGACACATTTTTTGTATCTGTACATCAGAAGCCTGTTAGCTAAGGCATAGGCATGGGACTGAGACTAACTCAAGATGCATAAAAAATACAATTAAAACAATTATATCTGGGAGGGTTCAAAGTATAAATAAATTCAAGATCCTTGGTTATGTTATCTAATGAGGAGACTTAGTCACCCATAAGATTTCAGTATGTCCCAACTGACCCTGATCCAGTTCTCCTAAACTCCATGCCAATTCCTTTCTTACAACCAGGAAGCATTGCTGTATAGTCGTTAAGAAGACAGAAGTTTTCCTCTTCAGTAGTCTTCAGCTCATTCTGATTCTTTTGGGAGGATGACCCTATTTCAGGAATTCTCACTAGCATCCTCTCTGGACTGCTGAATGAATTCCATCTACTGTTGGATTCGGCTGCCTGAAGGAAATTTACTATGACCACACAAGGCAGTCTTCTGCCCAGGACCCAGGTCGAGCCTGAGTAAATCTGGATTTACTGAGTAAATCTGAGTAAATCTGGATTATTGAATAATGTCATTTAGTGATTGGTCATACTGCCCTAAACCTAACCCTAAAGAGTGAGGCCAGTTTCAAATATCTTAAAGGAAATGGAAAATTAATGTGTCATATACAAATAAATAATGGCATAAATAAATGAATATGTTGCACCATTTAGGGTTCATGAAGTTTTAACCGTTTGAGATTTGGCCTTTGGGTTTCAAAAATAAAACTATTTCAGGCAATTTTAGGCCATCTAGAAGTAAGTCTTGTTGAAATGATTGGGACTTACTCTGAGTTGACATATGTGTGATGTGTGATTGCATTTGCTTGCTCACCCATCGGTAGACAGAAATGTAAACAAGGAATAAACAGAATCAGGCATTTTGTCTCTTTACAAGTATCTTATTTTTAATGTTATGTCACTGTTGTTTTCTAAGATAACATTGATTCTTGATTGATAGAGTAGTTTTCAAAGAACAGAATAAATAACTTTTGCATATTCACTTTGAATACAATTTCCATAGAAAGACCTTTTTTTTTAAAGGGCACCTTTAATAAACTTGTTTCTAAAGGTGTCGATAAAAGGATTTAGCATGGGGGTAATAATGCTGTAAAGGACAGAAATGAGTCTGTCTTTCTCCAAAGAGTAAGTTGATATTGGCCAAACACAGGTGAAGATGCAGCTCCCATAATGCAACAGGACAATGGCCAGATGTGAAGTGCAGGTGGAGAATGCCTCTTGTCTCCTTTCATTAGACCTTATCTTCAGGATGGTGGAGATTATGTAGACATAAGAGAGGACTATGAAGACTAAGGGTGTCCATCCTATGATGACCCCAACAATGAGCAGAATGATCCTATTGAGGGAGGTGTCTCCACAGGAAAGCTTCAGGAGGGGAGGGATATCGCAAAAGAAATAATTGAGCTGATTGTCCCCACAGAATGGAAGGTGGAAAGTAAAGTAGGTGTGCAGAGCTGAGTTGAGAAAGCCACTTGCCCAGCAGGCACTGGCCAGCCGGAGGCAAAGTGCTTTCCTCATGATGACTACATAGTTCAAAGGATGGCATATAGCCACAAAGCGGTCATAGGCCATTGCCGCCAGGAGAATGCACACCGTACCTACAAAGGAGAGAAGGAAGTAGAGCTGAATTACACAGCCAGCATGTGTGATGCTCTTCCTTTTGGCCATGAGGTGCACCAACATCTGAGGAACATTGGTGGTTTTATAACAGATATCCAGAAAAGAGAGATTCCCGAGGAAGAAATACATGGGGGTGTGAAGCTGAGGGTCCAGAGAGGCAACAATAATGATGGAGGTGTTGCCCACCAGGTTGAAGATATATGGGGCAAGAAAGACAAAAAAGAGCAGCAGTTGCAGCTCCTGAAGACTAGAGGAGCCCAAGATAAGGAATTCGGACAAAGCTGTTTCATTGACCATTGTTAGAAGGATCATGCACTGTCCTGCCTGGAAAATGGGGAAAGCTGGATAAATGTTATGTTTCTACCAGTCAGAGTTGTATTCACTAGTTGATCAGAAAGCACCCAATGGCACAGAAGTACTGGAGCACCCTGGAAGGCAAAATAGAATTTTCTGACATGACCAAGATCTTGAATACACTCTTGCTTGTTTGAGACCAGCTTTAGACTCATCACAGTCCGCCGCCCATGTAGTGTGGGCTGCCACATCCCTTTTCTTTTCCTCAGACACAAAACTCTAGATGCATATTCAATTGGTATAAAGAGAGTACAGTGATGTAGTTCTGTAATTTTAGACCTTGCTCATAGTGGTCCTCCTTTGGTGCCCAAGTGTACCACTTTAACCAGGAAGCATTTCTCCCCAGCACTACTGCCAACACTATGCTTTAACTGCTGCTGCATTGTCGTTTTCCTATTATGCACCCTCAAACAAATACACAAGCAGTTTGATCATGAGCAGTTTCACAATTTAAGAGCACAGTCCTATGTGGCTGCATGTAAACTTCTGAAGTTGGAAGGTTACAGGCATCCAAAGCATGGGAGGGTTGCAAGAATGCGAAATTTCCCCATACTCCCCTCACCCTCAAAAACATGTAGATGAGTGATTTCAGCCATGTAAGTGTTTTCCTCCTTCCACTGCCAAGTGGAAGCCTTTTTCTACAAGCGGCAAAGCCACATCTACCAAAACAGAGTTTAAGCAACTTAAATTGCAGCAGCATCCTGAATATAGCATAGGGTTCACCTCTCTTGCCCCGATAAACAATATATTTACTTTAGAACTGGATATGATTTATTGTCCTTCTTCCACCATCCACATATTCCACTGAAAATCTCATCAGGTTTGATGGGAGTTCTACTGCACATGTCCTGGCTATACTCTGGCCAGGAAACTTGGAAAAATAACCTTCTCAGGTAAAGAGACGGTTGCACGTGTGTTTATATCTAAATATGTTCTATACAGACCTTATGGAAATGCTTGCATGTTCTCCCACTCCCACATGTCACCATCATTTCCAAATTGTCTCAGATTGTTGGATTTCTGACTGGTCACATACTGTTAAATTCACTGTACTTACTTGAGCTATGTGGAAAGTCCAGTGATCAACTCAGATATTTTGTTTATGTAGTATTTACTTTGTAGAGACCAGTGTAGATATCCTGCTCCACTGGCTCTTTCTATTGCAGAGAACTATTATATACCCTATCAATAGATTCCTAGGATCACAGTATAAACCAAAGCCCAAACCATGAAAAATTGGTAATTAAAACAGTAATTGGGCAAAGTAAATCACAGCAGAATTCATGCATATTAGCACATATAAACCTGCATATTTTCCTGTTTGCTGGTTGGTGCTGAATCAGACACCGTCACATAAATGTTAAACAGATGGGGTATAGAAAGAACAGCAATGATCCTGTAACTGACTTATTTATTCATTCATTTTATGCAGCAGTGATTGTGTCAGTGGCTGGAGCTACTGCTAGGTGCAAACAGGTGGCTTGATGTTTTTCAGCACACTTGTACACCTACATGCATGAACTCTGGTTTCCACAGCTGGTAGGAATAACCGCACTGATTATTAGAAAATGACTGCATTGATTATTACTGGCAAACTACTATGCTATCATTTGGGTATGTTCATTTTAAGTTGGTAGATGTAAATTGAGAAACTATGCTTACAATTTAAAAGAAATAGAACATATCTTACCATACTGTGGAAGATTGAGACTAAATTACTTGTGTGCCTGGCTTAGTCTGTTGATGGGCAATTTCAAGAACCTTTTAAATTGCTCTTTAACTTGAAATAAAGGACTGTCCTCTGTTTAAAAAATGGCCATCTAAACTGCGACCTGTGCTCCACTGAGCCCAAAATTTACAAGGGAACTCTCTCTCAGCTTAGCCTGTATCAAAGAGGTTAAAGAATGAAGAAGAGAATGTATGCCTCTGTGAGCTATTTGATAGAAGTGCAGAAGAATTTTTATTTTGAATCAGATCCCATCATTTACATGCTATTTGTGAATGAAAGATAGACACAATGCTTTCAGTATTACTTTGAGCCACAGTTTTCAATGAATCAGAAAAGGATGGGAACAGTGAGGGCCACTACTCACTACAGGCAACTAATATTGTTGGGTGTGACATCCAAGCCCTCTTGAGTGAGCCATTTCACAGATATGAGGTGAGACTGTGGGAACTGGGTCTCTTCAGCCTGGAGAAGAGGAGACTCAGAGGGAATATGTTGGCGTCATACAGGTATGTGAGGGGATGTCACATGGAGATGGGTAGAGACCTGTTCTCCCCTGCAGAGGAAGGCAGGACACGCTCCAGTGGAGCAAAGCTCAGGGAACCAAGGTTCCATTTAGATGCCAGGAAGCACTTCCTGACAGTTAGGACCCCAAGGGTGTGGAATGGGCTTCCACGAGAGGTCAGTGAGGCCCCATTGGTGCGGGTGTTCAAAGATAGGCTGGACATGCACATGGTGGGCCTGTCATGAGTGGAGCCGGCTGGAGCAGGGGGTCAGACTAGATGGTCAGGGAGACCCCTTCTGACTCGCTCTGTTTCTATGTTTCTATATATGGAGACTCCCAGGTCTCTCCCTCCCAGAGCTGCAAAACATCAGGTGGGTGAAGCGGGTTAACTTCCAAGGCAATCTGTATCCCACACTGGGCCACAGAACCCTGGGATTGACAATCACAGTAAAAGTGCCTGTGGATGCTCACCAACTGAAATATGCCTGCACCTACCAGCAAAAACTGACCAAATCAATAAAAGCCAATCAGCCTAAAACTGCAAATACCTAATTAACAGTGTGCATTAGCCAAAGCAAAACAAATGAGATGTGATGACAACAAAAACAAACAAAAAGAAAACCAAGCAGTTCATGGCCAATCAGGCTCCCTTCCAATAATTCCTTCTCCCTCCCGACTTGCAAAAGTGACCAGGGAAATCCATACTGTATACAGGGAAGAAGAGAAGGAGAAAGAAGGTGATGGTGGGACTCCAAGCTCTTACATCTTCAGCATGACTACTCACTTTAGGTTGAGCATAGTCTGATGTGACAAGCTGGGCACATGCCAAAGGATGGCCAATATTTTCTAAAATTCTCAATAATGAATTGTCATTTTGCTTGTGCTAATGTGTAACACATATGTGAATTATTCAAAATAAATAGATAAAACATTGCTTAAGAGCCAGTGCAACATAGGGGTTAAGAATTTTGAACTGGGAACTTGGGAGATCTGGGTTCTAGTCCCCATTCAGTCGTGAAGCCCATTGAGTGACTTTGAGCCAGTCAGACACTCTCAGCCTGTCTTACCTCACAGAGTCTTTATTGTGAGGATAAAAGGGAACCTTGTAAACTGCCTTGAGTTCCTTGCAAGGAGTACAAAAGGGGCATAAATGCAATGTAATTATTGTTCATGGTGGTGGTGTCATCATTCATCTTGTTTTCCTTTTGTTTGCAGAAATGTTGCCATTTTTAAGTAAGTATTCTGTATGCAGGGATGATAGTCTTTGTTCATTATACCTGTAACAATTAAATTAACCACACACTTTGCACATTATACCACAACTGCTATGATTCAGCTTTGAAAGAAAGTGATGTTATTGTAAACCATCTCAAGATGTCTGTGATGGGACAACATTAATGAATAAATAAATAAATACTTAGGCAATTCTGTTCAGGAAACTAAGAAATTATCTTTATAAAAGTGCTAACACATTTCCCCAAATAACTACATTCTCACATGTTTAATGCTAAATCTTCAGGGAAATTATTCCCCATCCAGATATTAATTAATCTCAATTTATTTGGAAGGAAGCACCTCTGTGGATTCCTTGTTGCTATAATGATATTCTCCGTATCAAGTGAGCATGTTAACAATCACCTGTTGCCTGACTCATCTGACAGATTTTTCAAATGCAGATTCTGTCTTGGTATTACCATTCTGAAAAGATCCCATTGTACAATCAAAGCATATAATTCATGTTAGAGAGACATGAAATAGGTAAGCATGGTTTTTGTCTGTCTAATTATTTGTAAAATATAATTGTGTCTTACATATCCCAGGCAGCTGAAGAGAAAGAGTTCCCTCCTTATATTGTGAGAGAAGCTGTGTTCTTGTATGTAACAAACGTATCATTGTTTCGAGAATTACTTCTTTCTACCCAGTTGCCCAGCTGTTCACCAATTCAGGGTGCTGTACTTTTAGCTGACCATGAAAATGTTACATTCAGAAGCAATAATCAAAGATTTTAAGACAGCCCGAGATGGTGATCCATATTTGTTCCTAAACCAATTTATTTCCACAGAATTTTATGTGTGCAAATTAGTTTAAGTGGACATAATTGTGTGTAACTCATTGATCCTAAAAAGCTCTGTTCTTTTAAACAAAGGCTATGAAAACATATGTATGCTTAGCAACATATCTGAGTATCTTGTACTGTGTTATTTTTCTGTTTATCACAAATCCTCCTAAATGTACTGATTTATAAACGTATTTTTATACCCCCCACCCCTTCCTGGATCATAGGTCTGTTAAGAAAAGTGCAATGGAGAATCAGACAAATGTGGCTGAGTTTCTTCTGTTGGGACTTTCAGATGATGGAACACTCCAGGTTTTCCTATTCCTAGTTTTTTTGTCTATCTACCTAATAACCCTGGTAGGGAATGTGTTGATCATGTTAGTGATAAGGGCTGATGCTCAGCTACACACCCCAATGTATTTTTTCCTTACTAATTTGTCCTTCCTTGACATCTGCTACTCATCTGTTACTGTACCCAAGTTGCTTGAAAACCTTCTAGCTACGAAAAAGACCATTTCTCTCAATGGCTGCATTGCACAGATCTTTTTCTTTATTTTCATGGTTGGAACTGAGATCTTCCTACTCTCAGCAATGGCTTACGACCGCTATGCTGCCATTTGCAACCCACTGAGATACAGCACCATTATCAACCAGCGACTGTGCATCCAAATGGTGCTGGGTGCATGGATATCAGGTTTCTTGGATTCCCTTGTCAACACCCTCTTTTTAATGGGCTTGCACTTCTGTGGTCCCAGAAATATTAACCATTTCAGCTGTGAGTTGCCGTTGCTCCTGCAGCTGACTTGTACAAGTACATTTGCCAATGAAATGGTGATACTCACCTTCAGCATGATATTAGGGTTTGCCTCTCTCTTTCTCATTGTAGCTTCCTATATTGGCATCCTTAGCACCATTCTCAAGATAACTTCTGCAGAAGCAAGGCAAAAGGCATTCTCAACTTGTGCTTCTCATCTCACTGTGGTCCTCTTGTTTTGTGGGACTGCATTCATTAGGTACATGCGCCCTGCATCTGGGTATTCAGACATATTGGACAAGCTGGTGTCGATTCAGTATAGCATCCTGACCCCCATGTTAAACCCCATTATATACACCCTCAAGAACAAAGAAGTGAAGAAAGCTCTAAAGAAGCTATTTAAAAATGACTTCCACCATGTCGCCTGAGTGGCCCAACCAAATTCACCAGCCCTGCAATCCAAGGAGCAGTTACTCACATATGTAAATCCCATTGCATTTAATAGGTCCTCTTGGAAACTGTGCAGAGGACCAAAGCTTTATTTATTGCCTGTGTGATTCATACACAAAGCAGGGGACACAGTAGATCCAGAATTTAGCACTGAGGCAGAAAGCAAAACATTGAAGCAGTTATCTTCATTGTCCATATTGGCAGAATCCTGACGCTTTCCTTCACAGCCATTTCTACATCTACTGCCAAGGCACCAGAAATTGGAAGCCCATCCAAAATATTTTGGATTTTGTATGCCACTAATTTCAATTCCCTCCCACCAGTCTGCTTCCAACAGTTGTGTAGGGAGAAGAGGGCTGGGGAACACCATATAGTGGGAAGGAGCAGAGGAAAATGAGGGAAGAAAGAGAAGGATGAAGCTGGCTGACTTGACATGGTGATGATGACTGGGGTGCCCTCATTTGCCCAGCCACTCCTGTGTGCTCCATCTCTTTGCACTTACCCTCGTCTTCCTACATTCCTCTTTCCCCATCCCCGCACCCTTTCCTGATCTTATGCAGATGCCACTCCCATCAATCAATGAAGAGAACCAGAAGTGTCCTCTCCTCCCTTTGTGTCTGGTGGATGGTTGGGCCTTAAAAATCATTGAGCAAAAGGGATGGATGGATTGGAAATAGAAATATGAAATTAAGTGGTGGCTTCAAATGGCAAACCACAAAAAATTCTCTGCCATCCAACCTCCATGCCCAAATATTAGCAGAGAGAGAAGCCCACTACTGTCATACCTTTCTGGGAAGTGGTGCAGATGCATGCGTGCACACACAGACGCACACATTTTCTACAGTATCCAGAGAAGATATGGGATTCACAGGGATGATGAATGAAATGAGTGTGATTGCCCCATGTGGCCTGCTAAAAATGGGTTGTTGAGCCCTGCTCCAGTCATCCTATGTAAAGGTTTGGATTCATTTGTTTACTCTGTGTGTCTACTAATCCATAATGATTATAAATAAACCCCAATATTACAACATTAAGCTCCCATGACTTTCTTTTGCCGAAAACTAAACCTGGTTAAACGCAGTACACCTGAAGCCTCTCATTACTAAGAGAAGTGGGATGACCACGCCAATACATTATATGCTGGGAACATTGGCCTTAGTAATGCACATTTGCAGTTTTCCCATGTTTTTCAAGAACTATTCTTCATCAGTCTTCTCTATATCCAGTAAATGGCCTCTTGCTATAGATTTGAGGTAATCCCATAGATACCTCAATAATCCATTTGCGAAATTTCATTAGTCTATGTGTTTCAACTCAAAGGTTTAAAGGCAATTTACATAATATTCAGTTCAGGTTGGAAATTTACCTTAGGTCCCTGGAGTAAGCCCCGCAGAACACAATGGGATATACTTCTGCATATAAATTGAAAAGAACAACAAAGAGGGGAGTGAAGTTCAATTGATGAACTGAATTGTGTTTGTGTATCCCAATTATACACACAGACACACACACTAAAAGGAGAAGGAGAGAAGGGAGGATGGGTGATGATTACTGATTATGCAGGTACATAATGGGACAAAAATTCATACAATTGAAAAATGTGCATATTCACACATACTCATACATATACAGGTGTGCATGTTGAAAAATGTGCAACAATGTATCCATAAATTTCCATGCACGGAAAGAAGATGAAGGTTGCAACATAAAATGGATTCAACTTGGAATGAAGTTTGCAGTGGAAATTGGAGAACCATAAGAAGTTTGAGTTTTGCTGATCCATGCATTCCCATCAGAATAATGAATTCGAACTTCTAGCAAAATATTATCCCATGTGCAAAATATATCTTCCTTTCCCCAACTCACTTTTAACTGTAGAGGAAGCTCCCTTTTTCTGCCCTTACAGAATCTCCTACCCATGCTAATCTTATAAAGCAGGTACTGAATCTTAGAAATGCTTTTGGGAGAATGAGGCAGTTGTTCAGATGTTGAATGCTACAAAATACTGGTAAAGGTCATGCAGAAGCATAGGCAAATGTCAAGTCTATGACCTTCTAATATTTACCTGCTTTTCCCAGCAGTCACCAAGGGATTCCCATTATTTGCAATGGATCTACTATGAGCATTGCTATTTCTTACTTCAATACCTGGAAACCATGACTTGTGCGTATGTTTAATTAACTGTCTGCTAGATATATCCCAGGTTGAAGCATCTTTTCAGATCGCTGCTTTCCAACAATGCATTAATCTACAGAAGTTAAGAGATGAAGATTTTCACTCCATGGAAATAGAACCCAATATTTTGCAACTGTTATTAAAGAAAGATGTAAAAGAAATTGTAAAAAGTACAGCTTCACAGGTCACACTAAAACTTGAGTAACATTAGTAAACAAGGAGAACATAAAAGAAAACTATTTCTTACTGTGTTTCATTTTTTATTTCCCTCAGCAGTATACAAAGGGGAAAAGCAATTAGTGCAATAATTATAAAATCCACAAGCACCTGGGAAAACCATTTTTTCTAGCACAGAATGCATTGTGTTTATAAATCCATGCAAAAAAAGGGCAATTTGAACAGCAGAATTGTCAAGTCTTTCCCCCACCAAAATATGTGCTGAACCTATTAAAATAGGTGCCGAACATATTGTATAGGGTGCCTTCTTGGTTGTTGCATTAATTTCCCACCATGTTTTAAAATGCCAGGAACTTATCCTGAGTCATGCACAAAAAAAGGGGGGGGGTGCTTGAAAACATTACAGTTTGCTCAGATAGATTTGTTCAGTTCTACGGAGCAGACAGAACAACTTGCAGTTTCAAGGTTACCCAGTGAAGATCTCAGAGAGAACCAGGTGAGAACCAGTCTGCCTTGGAAAAGGAGGGCAACATGCCAGAGCTGTGGGGCGTGGGAGGTGATGGGGAAGGAGCTCCTTGACATAGTCAGGAGATGAAATGAGTGGGCTGAATCTGAAGTGTTCAGGGTTCCCTCCAGCAAGCCCTCAAGCAGCAGGAGCCTCCTCTGGGGGAGAGTCAGAAGTTTACTGAAAGGGAGGGGAGGAACATTTCCTTTTGGATCTAACCCTTTGCATGGGCAGATGCTTCTCAAGGAGAACACAACCTTGATTTAGACTGTCCTGTAAGCTGTTAAGTCTGAATAAAATATCTGTGCTTCCGAAGAGTTGACTGCATCTGCTGGAAAGGGAAAGAAGGAGAGAGGGACCTGTCCAGGACAGGTTATTTGGTCAAACTGGAAAAAGTAGTGTCTGATCTATTGTTCCATTCATTCATTTATTCATTTATTCATTAATTCAATTTCTCTGCTGTCCCACTCTAGCACTGCTACTGTAGCTGTAGACAGAAGACTTACAAACAGAGCACTTCACAGCTTGGGCTATTCACAGGCATGATTGGAGGAATGCATTATGATTCCAGATCCCTGCAGTAAGTTCTTTAAAAAAAAAAAAACACCTTTTATTTCCTATAAAAATACCTAAAATCTCTATGTCTTTTCCCATCTACTCCACCCACCTCTGATTCTCTGATTGTAGCATATTGTTCTAGATTGGCATTTGTGTATGTGTGTTTGTGCCTTGCACTCAATCTTGTGATTTTATGATATGTAATCTTGCAATATGTAACTAAGCTAAGTCCATAGCTGCAACAAGTTTAATGACTCAGTATTAACAAAGAAGTCATCTTAAATAGATTGAGGGAGAACAATTATTGTTACATTATTGATGTATCAAAACAAACACACACTATTCACTATAAGGAAGATAGAATAGGGTAAGAGCAGTTGGGAGGTCTGGTGCATTCAAGTAACTATTCCAATATTGGGAAAGGAATGAAAGTGTGGGTGATATAATTGGAATGAAGTAACTGGAGTATGATCTTGACATGTGAAAAGGTTAGAAACAAACACATTTAGCATTATATGGGGACAATTCTGCTGATTTTCAAAATGATGCCGTACTGATGCCACCTGCTCTCAGAGGACAGGGAGCAAATCTTGGAGAGTGCATAGTGTTGACTGTGTGAGAGAGGACAGAGATGGAAGCAACAGTGCTTGCACCAACACATGCTCCAAGAACTGAAAGACAAGTGGGGTTCTGAGGAACACAAACTTTATTTGAGCATGAAACAGTGATGTCCAAAAGCTCTTTAGATACAGCTGAGAGACCTCAGTGGCAGAGCATACAGCTAGCATGCAGAACATCCTAGACTCAATCCTCAGTATCTTCAGGCAGAGTTGGAAGCACTCCAGTATGAATCCTCGGACATCAGCTGCCACACAGTGTCACCAAGCTAGATGAACCAATGTTCTGATTCAAAGCCCCTCCCTCCCCTCCAGTTTGGATGCCCTACCAAAGGGTGGGAAAGACCCTTTCTTCCACCCGCTCAACCTTACTGGGTGAGCCCCCCAGTCTCAGGGAGAAAGGCTGGCATTATACCTAGCCAACGTCCAACAACAGCTGGTGATTCCTATGCCAAAAGAGTCGGGGGGGGGGGCATCATTGTACTTTTTAGTCTCTGCTTCACAGGAGCTATGCATGGTGTGGAACTCCACCCCAAAATAGTTTGGTCACCATGGCACACCATGGAGAGCTCCTATAAAGGTCAAACTAAAAATAGCAATGGACAAACATAGGAATCACCTCCTTTCCCTGCCAATATCCTCGAGGCCCTGCTCCTTATGGAGTCAAAGAAGACTTGTCACTTGCATTCTCCAGGACTTGTGGCTTTGATTTGCTGAAACTGGCAGACCAGGCAGGGCCACATAATCGTCCTTTCACCTATAGCCACTCAGCCAGTCTAATTCTGGGCTGACAAGTCTGCAGAAGAACCTGTGGATTCATTTGGGATCCAGATCCTCCCATTAAACATTCTCACTGTAGCTGCTGCAGGTGAAGCACAAAACTGTAGCTGTCATGGCTTATTCTGAAACTCTAATCTTCCTCCCTTCCTCCCTCTCCTTCATGGTG